ATGATCTTTAAGCGGAGTCTCTTCGGAACAAGGGGACACTTTACAAAACTTGTATGATGACTGTCATGACTTACGCGAGTGTGGTGTTTGCTCTCGCGTCCCTCACACACTTCCAACCTCCAATCCCTCCAGGTTTCAGCAGGTTAACCGTGAAGGCTCGTGGTTCGTGAGGAACGTTGACCTACACGACGACCTGGGCCTCGAATCAATCCGGAAACAAAAGGATTCAGCGTCGGAACGACACTTCGATAGGGTTATGCGTTATGATATTCGCCTTATCGCTGGCGCCATTGACTACTCCCCGAATCCTAATCACGCAAGAGCGAGTCACCGTCGAGACCCTAGACACGTCCTTACGGAGCCATCAGATCCAATAAACCTTTAGCTCTAACACTAGGAGCAGGCTTAGGGACCCCGGTAACCGTACTCGTAGAACTCGACAAAGAGTTAGACGTGCAGTTTATTTAAACGTCGCTTATTAACTGGCACTGAGGAGTTGAACGGGAGACCTCCCTATACTTGCCCAAGGGTATTTAGTTTCGAAGCGGTAGGCAGCGGCTTGGCTCTGCCCCTAGCTTTGCTGAAGTCCATGGGGGACGGTAACCACTCACCATCAGGTGGGCCGTGCGCTCGTCAGCATACAAGGTAAAAAAAACTGGTTGTGTATGTAATTTTGAGTGGAGCGATCGGATGCTTCAAGGGCTTGTCACAGATTTGTTAAATATAGTATTTATATTTTTGTCGTTTCATTATTGGATTAAGAAGCCCCACGTCTTCGACACTTAAAAGTAAAATCAAAAAATTTTGATCATAGCGACATCTATTGGCCAAGACTAAAACTACTACAATTGTAGAGAAAAATGGGCTTAGGTAGTTCATTGGACTAGTTACAGGATACGCTAGTATCAACGGCTAGACGCTTCAGACAATATTACGTGCAATTGTATATTAATTAGCCAAAACGCTTTTGCACCTTCAAGCTGTTATCCTGATCTAATTTCAACCGCAAAACAATCTACTACTTACTGGTGGTAGGATCTCTTGTCAGTCCGCACGGGTAGGTACCACCGCCCCGCCTATTTCTGCTGTGAAGCAGTAATGCGTTTCGGTTTGAAGGGTGGGGCAGCCGTTGTAACTATACTAAGACCTTAAAACTTATATCTCAAGGTGGGTGGCGCATTTACGTCGTAGATGTCTATGGGCTCCAGTAACCACTTAATATCAGGTGGGCTGTGAGCTCGTCCACCCAGCTAAGCAAAAAAAAAAGTCATACGTTGAAGTCGTCGTGGCCTAAAGGATAAGACGTCCGGTGCATTCATGTTGAGCGATGCACCGGTGTTCGAATCCCAGGCGGGTACTAATTTTTCTAATGAAATACGTACTCAACAAATGTTCACGATTGACTTCCACGCAGAAGGAATAACATCGTGTAATAAAAACCAAACCCGCAAAATTTTTATTATTATGCGTAATTACTGGTGGCAGGACATCTTGTGAGTCCGCGCGGGTAGGTACCACCACCCTGCCATTTCTGCCGTGAAACAGTACTTAATGCGTTTCGGTTTGAAGGGTGGGGCATCCGTTGTAACTATACTTGAGAACTTATATCTCAAGGTGGGTGGCGCATTTACGTCGTAGATGTCTATGGGCACCTAACAACAGGTGGGCTGTGATCTCGTCAATCCATCTAAGCAATAAAAAAAAGATGTCCAAGTGGAAGATAGATGTTTACCCTTCCAAGGGGAAAGCAGTAGCGGTCTATTGATGATATGGCATATTGTGAGTCCGTATCACTCTGCATATTTCTGCTGTGAAGCAGTAATGCGCTTCGGCTTGAAAAGCGGGCAGACATTTTACTAAAAACCGTACCCTAGAAACTAAAATTTTAGAACACAATGTTATTGGCAGAATTAGATTGTGGATGTCTATGGACTCCGGTAACCAGGTAGGACCTGGAGCTCGTTCACTCACCTAAGCAATAAAAAACAAAGATATTGCTCTAAAGTTGACAGTACCATCTCATGACTATATCCATGTGGCGGTAACAATCATTTTCAATCACGACCTAACGCAATAAAATGATTTTCCCACGAAAATAAAAAAAAATCAACAACCGATAAAGAAGACACTTGATATATTTATTTGCATTATTTACATAGACACTATCGAATAACAAGCATAAATGCATTTAAAATAACCATAGTACAGTATACAGTCAGACTAATCTATATAATACTAGAGGTCCCGCAGTAGTCGAAATTCGACTAAAATTAATTGAAATTGTAAGTTTGTACACTATTATGATTGTATTTTATACTTCTACTAGCTGACCCGGCAAACATTGTTTTGCCATATATAAGATTTCTAGGGAATTTCTAGTGTAGAAAAAAAAGGAACTTATTGTAAGTGTGTAAGGATGTGGTAAATGAGTGAAAGAGGTATGTAGTGCTGTGAACGATGAGGGAATATATAATAAAAATAACAAAACCTCATTCAACCACATAATACCTCATTATAAAAAAAAAATGTCCAAATAAAAAAAAAAATGTTAGGGGTGGACAACCCTAATCACTTAGGGGTATGAAAAATAGATAGTAGCCGATTCTCGGGCTTACTGAATATGCATAAAAAATTTCATGAGAATCGGTCAAGCGGTTTCGGAGGAGTATGGGAACGAAAACTGTGACACGAGAATTTTATATATTAGATTTACCTCTTATATATATTTTATTATTATCAGCACTATGTAATAATACTAGTTGATTTACTTACAATATTCTAATTTAAAAAATATAGATTCTGATTCATAACAATACATGAATATTATGTTATTATTTATTTTTAAATAAATTTTATCAGTCGTTATTATAATAGTAATAAAATTAATAAAAAACTGAAGTTATTACAATAATTTGACAGTCTCGGTTGTAAAACATCTCAATTTTTAAGTACCAAATATTGTTTTCCGTGAAAATTTTTATATTCCTCTTTATTCGCAGTCCTAGAACTTTATGTAGATAGTTTAATTAATCTATATTAAAATATATTTGTAGATTATTTTTATAGATGACATAAATAAATTAATACATGTCGCACTCTCTTTGAACAATTATAGACTTTATAGGAGATATTGTTTTGACATATTAATTTCGTTAATTTCTTTATTTATGTATTTAACATCAGTAAATAATTTACTGACATTAAATATTTCTTTTCCTAAAAAATAACCAGAATTTTCATTATGTCATAAAAATCACACTATGAAATATACTTATATATGAATAGACATACATATATATAATATATATATATATATATTCAGAAGGTTTCCCTCACGTCATGTTCGCACGAGGACAACATTTTGAAAATATAACAATATAATTACTTTATTACCAATAATAATAAATATAGAAATAACCCTGTACTTACATATTAAACTTAAATTTAGCTTCAAGAAGCGGTTTATATTATAAATACTATTTGAGCTCACTTCAACATATTATTATATCAAATGTAGGCCAAATGAATAAGATTTTTTTAAAAAGTTCATTAAAATAGGAGATGTATGGAATGTCCGGAAATCTAAGCTCAACCAACTATAAGCTCAAAGCTTAATCAAGCTTTCTTATTGCCTTGCAAGTGACGGTTCCACCCCCTATGGACAAGATCTAGGGGCACCACCGCGCAGCTGCCATAAACTTCCCTCTCCAAGACGATATCCAGAATTTCAGCTTATAGCTACAACTGCCCAAGAGGGTGGATATTGTTGTAGATGTTGTTGAAGAAAAAGACATCTTAATTAATTAATTCCTAAATAGAAATTCATATGGTGGTATCTCATCATCATCTGGTGGTAGGACCTCTTGTGAGTCCGCACGGGTAGGTACCACCATCCCGCCTATTTCTGCGGTGAAGCAGTAATGAGTTTCGGTTTGAAGGGTGGGAAGCCGTTGTAACTATACTGAGACCTTAGAACTCATATCTCAAGGTGGGTGGCGGCATTTACGTTGTAGATGTCTATGGGCTTCGGTAACCACTTAACACCAGGTGGGCTGTGAGCTCGTACTTCCATATATGCAATAAAAAATCATCTTCATTTTTGCTTAAAGTTTAATATGGATGGTCGAAGACAAAGATGCTCAATTACGTTCTAAGTGGTTTTTTTTTTCAAAATAGTATCTATTCAAGTTATGGACAATGTCAGTACTGCTTCAAGGGCCTTTGAACTAAGTGAACTTACGTGACTGGGTCTGAGCGTGTAACGCTAGAAAAATTGAATTTAATTATTTTTTGGAAATTAACGCCCTCTAGCGTATACGCGACGCAGTGTGGGGAAATAATATAATTGTGAAACACTGCTTAGTTCTCTTACTCGACACTGCATGGCGTGACTGTGCTATCTTGTCTGTGGTTCGAGGATGAGATTAGCACAGCACTATAGGCGGAATATTCGAGAACCGTAAGACTATTCATATAAAAGGACAAGTCACTTTGTCCGAAGCCTTTTTCAATCAACATCTCTCGAGCTGCAGTGAAAGTTTTCTTCTTCGTAATTATTGACATGTACAAAAGAACCTTCATACTTATCCTGTTAATTTACCGAAATTATTTTATTGATATTTTTTAATGTACTCGAAATTATACCAATGACGACATCTATGGACGAGTAAGTGAACCCTTTAGAAGACGATGCATTACTGCGCAATATTGTAAGTTCTAATTCGTATATTACGTTTTTTAACGTTGTCGATAGCGTAAAAGTTAACTCAAATTTGTATAGAGTTGGAACGTTTGCCTAGGTTTGCGGGTAGGGGCGCTGTTCCAACTGCATACAAATTTGAGGTAATATTGAAAAACTCGCACTAAATAGACTTGTCAACTACACTACAAGAACGTGCTAATAAATGCCTAATGCACTTGGTTTTAAGGTATACTCTTGGATGAAATATAGTTAAAACAAAAGCTTACTGTATAACATTTTTCAAAGAAACGCTGAATATAAATTAATCCTACATAGCATTTTTGTCCATCCATAGACCATCCATACAATAATAATTGAAAGTCAGTTTTCGGTGAGTATCCAAAATCTACAAAATACACGCGTAACCTACTTATTAGAAGCCTTAGCTACCTTCTCCATGGTGTCCTCCATACTACGCAAATATCTATTCAATGATTCTGAAGTGTTCTGCAGAATGCTTAAGCCTAATCTGTATTTAAAATCAACGAGCCTTCGTAAAAAGGAAAAGAAGCCGCCGCCCTGGTTCAGAGGTGGGTAGGTGATGACGTCAGGGCTGTCGGTCGGCTTCGGTCGCATAGATGATGTATCTACGCTGACAGATGATGATGATGGCGGTACAGTCGACGTGTCAGGTCTGTCCGTTACGGTCTCTGTCACTATAACCTTGGATTCTGTTGTGATATCGACTTTAGGACTTTCGGTATTATCAGTTGTAAACACCTCGTAAACTTTGAACGCTTTCGTAGTGAATTCAGATGTATTGGATTCGGTCGTGGTACTTTCTTTGTCAACGGGAATTGTGGATACGCTTTCAATTATCATTTGTTTGTTATTGTCTTCTTTGATTGGTTCAGATAAAGGGTAAATCGGTATAACTTCATTAGGTTTTCCAATCTCATTCGTATCTAGCGAGGCAAGGTTTCTGATTGGCGGGTTGTATGTATCGTCAATTTCATTACTGATGAATATGTTGTTATCTTTTTCGGCTCTCAATATTTCTTCCAATGACGTGGAAATGCTACGCTTTTTCAGTTTTCTCGGGCCGTGCTCGCGGACTACCGCAGGGGTAGCTGTGTCCATTAGTTCCTTAGGCACATTCCCGACAACAAATTTGTTTTCATCCGACTCATTACCGCTTAAATCATCGGCATTGTCATCTTGCGTTTCGCTATTGGAGCCTAAATACATTGAAGTTGGAGCGTAAGTAGCTGGACTACTGGTCGACTCACCGTAAAATTGTCCGTCGTACGGATACACTGGTTTGAAATCGGATTCATCGCCAGGCTTGATTCCGTATACTACTGAACTGGATGTATCGCCGCCGTAACCAGAAACGCCAGATCCGGTTTGAGGTGCGGCATAAATCGGCTCGACTGCCGGATACGGAGTGTAGCTCTGAGCTTTTTCATAGTTATATTTGCCTTCAGTGGTGTAAACGTGTCGTGTTTCATACTGTACACCATAATTGACGGGTTTCGGGTAAACAGCGCCATGTGCTATACCGGTTTTCTGTTGTGGATATCTGTTGTTAGTAGGATCGTAAGCAGCCACGTGTCGATGCCTCAAATCTTGTTCCTTCTTAACTGGATAGCGATTTACTTGTGCCGTTTGGCCAGCATAAGGGTTTAGCTTGTATTTTGAATGAGAAGGCATACCGGCTAATACAGTTCCGAGCATCTCTTCCTCGGGTTGACCATTACCGTCATTTGCGTACTCTTCTGCATTGTATTTATACAGGTCGTCTTTCTTGTCAACCTCGAAGGTTCTGCGGACTGGTGTAGAGAATGGGTAGAAGAAGTAGCTTGCTATGCCTACTAAACTTGCAAGCCCGATCATTCCAACACCAACGGACGGCATTACTTCTCTAGAGAAATAATTGTACAGCTGCGTAGTGATTGCACCGGTTTCGGGTTTCTTAGTAGGTTTGGATGTTTTAGTTTTGTTGTTTGCTTTGATATCTGAGACTCCAGTACCGTCTGTGGGCTTAGAAGCACTTGGTTTTCGTTTTTTATTCTTCTTGCGTGTAGTGTTTCGTTTAGGTTTTTTGGTTGTCGTTGGCGGGGTACTGATTTCAACTTCAATTTCTGATTCTTTGGCCTCCATCGGCAATAACGCTGAGTCGTCGTAACTCGGAGCTTCTGTTGTGGTAGTTTTTTGTTTATTTTTGTTTTTGTTTTTAGTTTTAGTCACGGGGGCTTTTGTTGTTTCTTTCGTTGTTGTAGTCGTTTCCGTTGGAACCGGGGTCGTTGTGGTAGTAGTAGTTCTTTGAGAGTTAGCATTTTTGTTCTTTTGCACATTTGTCAGGACTGTGTCTTTGATTTTATTGTAAACATTTTCATTGATAGCCGACCCCGCCGCAATCAAATCAGCTTTGTTACTGCTCGCTATAATTGGACGTTTGGCCTGATTCTTGTTCGAAGGTCGTTTTTTATTTTTATTTCCTGTTGGTTTTGACTTCTTAACTTCATCCGTTTTCGTAGGTTCCGTGGATACTGAAGACACATTCGTGGGACTACTCACTAAGACCCAAGTAGATATACCTTCCTTGGTAGTAGCAGAGTCATTGATCACATCGCTGGTTTTCTCAGTTTCAAGATCTTCGATTGTGATGGGAACTGCCTCTCCTGCATGCCCATTATACAAAGCATCGTCTTCGTTTTGTATTGTTTTGTGTTTTTGATTTGGAAACTTTAGTTTTGTGGATACTCTGCTTTCAGCGATTACTTGTTCGGACGTGTTCTCGGTTTTCTCGAGCAGTTGGCTGGCTAGTTCTTGAAGGGCATCTCCAATCGGTTCCTTGGATTTGAGAACTTTAGGTGCATTAGGTACAGCCGTCGATGAATCTTCACTCGTTATGTCCGCTGCTTTGTAGCTTGTTGATCTGGAACTTAGAGAAAAAATAAATTAGATTATTAAAGTCTTATTGCTGTTAATTATATTCATGATTACTTTATTTAAGTCATTAGTATTAACGCAGCTGAACATCTAAAAAAATACTAGAATCTGATTGTTGGCGTGGAAAAGAATCCTAAAGCCAATTTTAGATTATTTTTACCTTAAATTATAGGAGTGGATGTAACCGACACTAAATATTACTTATAACTTTTAAGACGAACAAAGAAGATCACTACCCTCCTTGAACTAGGTGGTTAATAGCGACCGTAGTGTTTATTTGATGGCATTTGAGTTATGATATCACAAGTCACTATATATCGAATCAGTGGGACCGAACTATAAATTATTATACATTGTCTAAACCGCCCTTGAATCTATAATGCATGAATGCTTCGCATAAATAGGCAGGGTTATGATAGCCACCATAATACCAGCTCATAATACCAGTCAAGTTATTAACGATCGGCCAGTATTATATTCAATAGAGATATTGTGAAAATATATGTTATACTTATTAAAATTAATTTTACTGTTTATTCAGACGTTTATTATCAGCCCTTGACCGTGTAATAAAAAATCCAAAAGGTCAAATCTACTAACTTAAAATAAACAGAAATAAAAACCAAGAATATTTTTACTTTTTATTTTATTTCAAAACACCATCACATCTATTGATTTTCTCGGATATTAAATTAAAGTTGGTAAATTTCGAAATTATCTTATCAGCACAAATAAAACAATGTTGTGAACAAAAAATTTAACTCTTAATGATAATGTTTTAATATTATAAATACCCAATAAATTATGCTTAGTTACTACATTAAATTAATAGGTTAAAAGGTCTATCACAGTAACATATAAAGAACACCAAATGTCGCAATCTTATTTATTTTTTTCTTAACACAAACCTTCACAAAATGAAAGCGTCAAGGAAAACCCGTTATATCAGTATGCTTAGTGCGAGTTTTTTAACGTTCTCGATAGCGTAAAAGTTAACTCAAATTTGTATGGAATGGGATCGTTTGCCTCTAGGGGCGCTGTTCCAACTGCATACAAAATTGGGCTAAATTTTACGCTATATAACTATGTGGAAAGGACCAAGAGGAAAAAGAAGAAGAGGGCGCCCTAGAAAAAGATAACTAGAAGATATAAAAGCGATAGCAGGAAGCGATTGGGGAAAAAAAGCTATGGACAAAGTGGTTTGGAAGAAGCTGAAGGAGGCTTTTACCCGAGAATAGGTCCCGATCAATGATACTGAAGAAAGTAATCATATCGAGTAAAATAAAATGAAAGAAATTACCTAATATATATTAAATCGCATGTAATAACGATTATTATTATGGATTGGAAATAAACAGCCTTTACTATTATTATTATGTGTATTAAGCACTGCCACGCCTGGGAAGACGGCAGGACACACTCCGGCGAGGTGGGCAACAATCGGCCGGAGCGTTAGGGACTATTGGGAGAGAAACCGGCGAACTATACGGGCATTGTCGAGCAAGACTGCTTTTTGCATTTGGGCCACCACCGACTTTTTGTTGAGACCAAGCCTCTCGAGATGTTTTGAGAGGCTTTTAGGGACCAAACCATTCACCGACACAACTACCGGGATTATTTCTGTAGATACCACCCTCCACATGTCGGTCACCTCGTGCGCCAGGTCCAAATATTTGGTCTTTTTATCTGCCTCGGCCCGCACGAGGTTCTCGTCGTAGGGGATGGTGATATCCACCAGAAATACCCGAGACTCCGTCCGGTCCATCAGCACGATATCAGGCTTATTCGCAAGAATAGTCCTGTCCGTGATGATGGGCCGGTCCCATTAGAGCTTGGCACGGTCGTTTTCGAGTACAGCGTCCGGCTGGTACTTATAATACGGTAGCCTCTGTTCGATGAGGCCATACTTAAGGGCGAGCTCTTGGTGGAGGATTCTGGCTGTATTATTATTATTATTATTCGTGGACAGTTCCAACTGCTACCGTCCTCAACTCGGCGGTCCTGGCCGAGCTAGTTATCCTATATGTGACAACGTCTAGACAAACTTCAAATAACTCGTCGACCCGTAAATAATGACCATTGCTTTAAACTCCCACAGGGCGATGTAGAGAAATGTCTTACCGTCATCATCTAGCAGTAATTACTGTCTCGCACTCCCAAACCCTCCTGCTTTCGGGTTGGGACTCTAAAGGGGCTATCAACTAAGGAATTTTAATTCAAATTCGGCTCCACCACTGACACCCTGTCGCCATTTAACAATTTTATCACAATATCAAAAATTAACTGTACTTGAACACAATTAACATACTTCAAGTTGTAATAATTACGGGTATACAATAATACATGTATTTTGTGTAATGTCAAAGCGCTCTGAAGTTTCTGGCGATTGTACCGGCGCCTTACTTCGGGGTATCCCGTGGGATACATCTGGCGGTATCTAAGTGGGCTTTGGATGACCTGTCGACCGAGAAACCCGATGATCTTGGGCGTAAGGATGCATCAAAAAATATGCTTCCCGCTAAGCGTGTTATGTGTTACCCTGTATGTTCTAAACACTTTTTGCGGGTCAGAGTGAAATCACCATACTTCAGCCTACGCATTGGGAGAGTAAGGCGGCGCAAGCTAGAGTTGAATCGACTAAATCCCCTTGTTACATAATAAACCACGTCCGAATCTTCGATAAGACAGAAAAGAATACCCGAGGCAAGCTAGGAGGAAAAGCTTGTCTAAAGTCCTTCATACATCGGAGACTTTCTTGATGACTTTTTTTATGTTTGAGAGATTACTGGTGCCCCGGAGGCCTTTCCAGTTTTACCAGGACAGGTGGGCGAGCAAGGGCTCAGCCAGGAGGGGGCTTGATGACTTGTGCGGTAAAAGAAATACCCTGAACCCCTAATTCAGATTTATGTGTAATAACATTTATTTTATTCACGCCAAAAATAACAAATTATTTAAAATTTATTTGATTGTTTCAATTCATAGAAATGTGTTTTTTTTTTAAATCTTATTCTCTAACCTATTTTTACATTATTTGTACATACATTTAATCCATAAAATTGCACGTAATAAGTTCCTTAACTGTACTTACTGTTATCATCATGTAAGTGACCAAATAAAATTATAACTTAAACTAATAATTAAATAACCTTCAATTTTATAACTAAATTGTTAAATGTAGGTATTCAGATCGATTTTATTTTAACAAATTAAATTTTCGTCACCCATAGTCATTATCTCAATTTAGATATTTCAGCTTTTATTTTTTCCTTCTGCTCTTGTGATTACTAGATAGCTCTTGATTTTTATCCAGTTCTCTTATTTTTTCAGTGGCAAGTCTCATCCACTGTTTCATTCTGGAANAATTTTATAACTAAATTGTTAAATGTAGGTATTCAGATCGATTTTATTTTAACAAATTAAATTTTCGTCACCCATAGTCATTATCTCAATTTAGATATTTCAGCTTTTATTTTTTCCTTCTGCTCTTGTGATTACTAGATAGCTCTTGATTTTTATCCAGTTCTCTTATTTTTTCAGTGGCAAGTCTCATCCACTGTTTCATTCTGGAAATCATATTCACTTTACCACCCTCTCTATTTTCCACCTCACCGTTTCTTAATCGCGAGCCCACTCTCCTATTAGTTGGAAACTCGTGTGATTGCCACTTCTCCATTCTATCATGCCAATACAGCTCCGGCTTGTATAAGTGAACAACTTTTGGTGCTTCTCGACCGTATGGTAAAAACCAGGTGGAGAAAAAACTCGCAACTCCGGACCCAGCAAAAAAGAATGCTATTGGTGTCAACAATAAAGGGAATAATCCAAATAAAATGGGATTTAAGGATGTTAGCCAGCCAAGAGCGCTTACTGCCGGCCTGAAGAAGGTTAATAAAGACGAAAAGCCGAATAGATCGTCATCGTCCTTATTAGGTCTTCCTGGTTTCGACAGAGCTGACAACGGAGATGTCGGAGATCCCAAAGTTATCGGTTCTGATAATTGAGATTGAACAGCGGAGTTAGCTGTGTTGTAGTTTGCCAGAGCGGTTCCTTCAACTGAAGCACTGTCTCCTTGCACTTGTTCTTCAGACTGGAAGTAATCTCCAGTCGAAGAATCATCGTTCAGGGAGTCATCATCTAAAGGTATACCTAAAGCTGGCAATATACTATCTGAATCATCTTCCTCGTCGGAATCGATGACAACGTTCTTATTTATAACGTTAGTATTTACAGCTATATTCAAATCAGGACACGCCTCTTTGGCCTGCCCTTGAAATGTATTGTTTAGAGAGAGGAAAATAGTGGGACATTCATCAGGCGAGGCATTGTATTCGTCGGGCCGTATCACGATTTTTTCTGTATAAACATTGCTTGGCTCGAAAGTCGTGACCTCGAAATTCGGATAATTATTATGTACGATGTTGTGATAGTTATAATCTTTAACTGGTTCAGTGACCGGGGCTGGTTTTCGTGTGGTCTTCCTGGTGACCTGCGGAATTTGCGGCCATGGTTTTGGGTAGCCTACATTCGTGATTATAGGTGTTGGACTCGGAGGTGTAGTGTGAATATATGAGGGCCTATTGTAAGGGTAGTCTAAGATGTGAACGTTATTAGAATACACTTGAGTTTCCTCAGAATATTCTGGTATAGGTCTGTAGTACGTACTGTGTGTGTGACCGTAAGGATAGCGTTTCGCGTCAGTATCATCAGACTTTGTACTACCATCATTAAAATGTGTAAAATGTACTTTATCATATAGTTTATCATTTGTTATAGATTCAGGTGGAAATTCTAGAGCCTCATATTTCGTTTCATCGTTCCATTTAGTTATTACCTTCCGTATTGTTGATTTCCTTGCAGGTTTCCCTTCCTTATCATTATCAATTTTATTTTTAGTATTAACTTTACGTTTTGCATTATTCTTAGTATTGGATTTGCGTTTTTTAACCACACGACCCTCTCTATCAACTTTGATTAGTTCGCTAGTATCACTTTCAGTAGCATTGAAAGAATTAGCTGTAGTACCATTGAGGTAGGTAATGACTATGGGCAAATTAGGACTAAATGTATCAATATTATTCTTAAATCTATACCTTATGTTTTGTGATGTTTCTGTCTGTGAATTGTCAACTGATTGCTCGTCTTGTGGCCGCGTTAAAACGTACGGTGTAAACACAATTAAAAACAAAACTATAGTCCCTTTACCACACACTAGCTTCCTTCGCGTCATCTCGGCTTACCGGTACACTATCTGGAAAGAAAGGAAAGACAAATTAATTATCAAAGTTTGCTACAAAATTAATCCATCTATACTATAGAATAGAACACTATCCATTCCCCGGAATATAGTTGTATTATTCTTTAATTTATATGCTACAAGTCGTTTTGTCTATCCATTTATACTTAGTCATGAGCCCAACCATACTGTCGCACTTATAGCTGATACACCCGATATTATCCGGGTCATGACTTATGAAAAATATCTCCGGTAACTAAATCCAAGTTGAAAACTGTTTTGTGCGAAATTTCATCCAAATCCGTAAGGCATTTTTGTGTGAAGAGTAACAAACATCCAAAGATACCTAATTTTACATTCAAAGAAGTTTTCGATATATTGTAGTTTGAAATTTTAATAAACGCGACTACATATTGTACGGAATCGGGTTTTTGACTCGCAAAGACTTTATAGAATAATGTATTAAATACGTAATCTCTTACATATATTGCCAATATATCTCCTATTGCAATAGTAAATACAGTTCAAGTTACTAACAGCTACTAACAGTAAACTAAAGCCCTCATTCTCTATATATCCACTTCCTCGAGTCGTAAACGCGGTAATATTAAAAAAAACCGGCTATTCAAAATCTATGACCGTTATGAATCATTAACCCAAAACCTAAAAACGAACCGTTCTAATGTAATCTTAATAACATAAAGACACCTCATTTTATTTCCTATTGACTGCAAAGTAAACTATTGATAGATTTAATAGCTATCTAACTAACCTTATTAGAGAAAAAAATTGTCATTGAGAACCCATTGTTTTTTAGAAGTATTTTAAAAATAAAACATATTTTAATAAAATAAATTACATATCTTTATACATACTTTTCATTGTATTTGTTTTACATAAAAGTGGCGAAAAATAGGTCCACCACCACAATATTTAATGATTAGCAATTACTTGACATGTTCTTTGATTTATAAATGAACAGAAGTTAAGATAATACTGATTTCTAATATGTTATTGAAACAATAAACAAAATGACGAGTACTTTGAAAGTAAAAATATGAGTATCGGAAAAACCTAACCGCAAATCGCGCTTACATGATTCACGCGAGTGAAAGTGTTGAAAAAATTGTAAGTGTACACCTACCGATACGCGTAGGTTTTGTCTTTGTTTACATGCATTTATTGTTATGAGGGAATTTTGTGGTTTGACGATATTGTTTGAATATAAATGAAAGGCTTAATAAATTTACGCTTATTCAGAGGCAAACAAAGAAAAATTGCACGCAAGTGTACTGGGCATTTTAGTTTGGTTGATGTTTCGATATTCATCCAGTTATTTACACTTCCTCAATCATTGCTTTAGCGAGCAGAATAACATTAATCGGACACGGTTAGATAATAAATTCTTGCACGTTTGCCGGATTAACATCCACATTCCTAAACTCATTCGTAGCATACCCTATCCATCGCCGGTGATCAGCACCTACAAAATTCTGCGTCAGAACAAATTCAGCAATGTACGTGCTCGGATAGTTTTTAACGTCCAGTTTGTCGACCTGCCGTCCGTGACACTGATTTCATTTCAAACGTAGCGTTACCACTGACCTACAAGTCGACTGGTTTTGGTGCGCGTTCCGTTATCGTGACTTTGGAAACGAAATAGAAGGATGTTTACAAATAGAACCTGTTTTCGATTCTGGAATGTGAGTTGAAAGGTTTTTTTTTTCCTATAACTAAATTCTACAGTTTTGATTCCGTTAGTAATGTGACGGCAGCCATCATAGAACACGAGATAGTTTTGATAGATGTCTGAATCTCGTTTACAATATTTTCAATGCTTGCTTACATACAAGCTCCGAACAACAATATCGGACGACAGTCTATCGAGCAATAGCATCCGCTCGGTGAAAGACCTTCCCTGTGTCGCTATCTCGCAAACTGGTAACACAGACGTGATATCAACAATTACCTCTCAGTATGAATATTTAGGAAAGTAGTTTATATCAAAAATATATTGAGAATTGGCAAATTAGCATGATTTTGTTATTACTGTATTTGAAGACAAGTGCTTTCTCTCTCTCGCTCTCTCTGTCTGTCTCTCTCTCTCTTTCTCTCTTTCTCTCTCTCTCTCTCTCTCTCTCTCTCTATCTCTGTCATTCTTTAATCGTCTACTCTGTCTCATATAAAGAATAACATAACAGCTGGCCACCTTCATCAGATCGAAGTCTCAACTATACTGTACGACTGCTTCGCTTTTTAAACAATTACTTTAAATTATGCATTAATCCATTTAAATTGTCTGCTTTGTGCAGCAATAGACAGGACGGAGGTAGGTACCTTATTTTATTATAGAAATTAGGAGGTGCTGAGTCTGTAAAACCCACACTTATCTTTTTCAAAATCTAAATCGAGAATGTACCTTAATACATATAGCTGTTTTACATTTTTAAATACACTACGAGTAGGTATATTCGGGTACTTAAGGCATAGTAGGCATAGGCGGCACGAATTAAGAAAATAAGCAACTCTTTTAGGGGGCTGGGTGTACAGCTTTTCAACAAGATCCCACTAAACGTTCAATTAGTACCTGTTCATAGATTTAAGAAAACTGTTAAGGAACGTTTGTGCAACAAGGCATATTATAAAGTTAAGGATTATTTACTAGATGGCACTACGTGGGAATGAGGCGCTCGCTCCTGGCCTTTTCATTTTTCATTATTATTATTATTTTTTTAATTGTATTTTTTTGACTTGTTTTTTCTTATATTGTGAATATTTCTATTTATTTAAAAAAAAGAAAATATTTGAGAAAAAACAAAAAAAAATAAGCCCGCTGAGTTTGTTTCGCCGGTTCTTCTCAGGACTGTGGCTTTTTTTGGAACCGGTGGTAGAGTTAACATTGTTATTTGTATTTTGACATTCAACAAGTGTGTCATACTGACATCTAAGTTGAAATAAATGATTTTGAATTTGAATTTGAATTTGAGTAGTTGCGCTGTATGCGCAGAAGGATTCTCCTCCTCATAATATCTGCTGACAGAAATCGTAATTAAGCCTAGTTTATGAATACGCCTTCACTAGGATCTTTATTAGAATTCCTAACTGATTACGGCCCGAGCTTTTTAGGTCCTGGTGTGTACCGATTAACGAATCCTATCAGTCGTGCTTTAGCGTGTAGTTTTTTTGGTGTCCTCTCTCAGTTGGTAGTACCTCTTGAGCTTTAAAAATACCTCACCCATTATTACCGCTTAAATTGAAACAAAAGCTTTTTTTTATTGCTTTGATGTGTGGACGACCTCACAGCCCACCTAGTGTTAAGTNGCCCGAGCTTTTTAGGTCCTGGTGTGTACCGATTAACGAATCCTATCAGTCGTGCTTTAGCGTGTAGTTTTTTTGGTGTCCTCTCTCAGTTGGTAGTACCTCTTGAGCTTTAAAAATACCTCACCCATTATTACCGCTTAAATTGAAACAAAAGCTTTTTTTTATTGCTTTGATGTGTGGACGACCTCACAGCCCACCTGGTGTTAAGTGGTTACTGGAGCCCATAGACATCTACAACGTAAATGCGCCACCCACCTTGAGATATAAGTTTAAAGGTCTCAAGTATAGTTACAACGACTGCCCTACCCTTCAAACCGAAACGCATTACTGCTTCACGTCAGAAATAGGCAGGGTGGTGGTACCTACCCGCCCGAACTCACAAGATGTCCTACCACCATTGAAAAATTCTATTATATTAAAATTATATAAAAATTCTATAGCTATTTCCCATATCGAAAAGTGCGCGTTCGGCAATATAAAATTAACAACATTTTTATCAAAAACGATTAGAAATCCAAAGGAAACTACGTATAGTAATAGTGAAAATTATAATTCCAATGCACGTCCGTGACCATGAACGGTTGCAGCGCTGCGCCTCTATTCACCTGGTGCATTGACTTCGACTCCAAGTCATGAGCGCTGTAGCATGCGTGAGGTAAATTTGGTCACATCCATACTAATATTATAAAGCTGAAGAGTTTGTTTGTTTGAACGCGCTAATCTCAGGAACTACTGGTCCGATTTAAAAAAAATGTGAGCCGTCACGGGACGCCTGGCAGATGTGAAACATCGACATTATTTTGTAAAAGTAATATGCAGAAAAGAACAGATTGTGATAGGAACTAAATATGTCATAATGATAAAATAAAATATTACGAAAAAATAGTTTGTTTTCAAGTAAAACACAGGTTATGTGTACTACGGAGCTCAGTGTAGCGAGAGACGCCGGATCGAGTGGGAGAGAATCGCACAGTCGATTGCGCATGGCGACGCGTCGCCACGGCATTCGTCGCCACGCCGGAAATCGGTTTTATGTGCGGCTATAGATGTTTCACATCAAAAATCTTTCAGTGTTAGATAGGCCATTTATTGAGGAAGGCTATGGGGCTTTTTAAGTTGCATTACCCAGTCAGCGTGTTAAACAACATGCATTGAAAGAATAAACAGCTGTTGGACAATATTATTGGGGAAAAACGCGGTAATCTTACCGCATTAACCACATCCCGTATTTATGTTAATGTGAAAACCGGTTGTACAGCTTGCTCTCGTTTCTAGTTCACGTTCGATCCAGACATTAGCTTTCAAAAGCACTAACTTAGTTTTTGAAGCTATGTAACAAATTTTAGAATTTCTCTCTTCTAAGCTAGACTTGTCACTGCGGTCCTCCGTTTTTGATTCAAGGATATAATGGATATTCAAAATATTATTTTAACTATTACAAAATTCTATTGAGATTATTTCAGAAACATCTCTGTCCCTAACTACTGACTAAAATGTTGAAATTAAGATCTTTATAAAATACTGGCGGCCCGCTCCGACTTCGCTCGGGTCTTTAACAAAAATTCCAACGATATTTGACGTTGTTTTATTTTTTTAAATAAAAGAACACTTATTGAGGCATAACTATAATAGTTAGGCATATGTCGGCGCGACATTTTTGTAAATAATAATGTGTTCTACAAAGTCGTAGTACA